CTTCTTCTTCTTCACGTACCATGTCCTTTCAGAACGTTGTTTACCACCTAATCTTAAAAATTATACAAGAGGACTTTTTAATGCTGTATGTGCTACTGGATAAAATAACTGAGGAATGGTTAAAGTATGTTTTTATAGTAATTCCGTCGAAACGCTTTGCAAAAAGATAAGACGAACACAAATTAATTAGTCTGATGATCCACACATTGAAAAATTTTTTCTTCGCATTATTGATTACAAAATAGACCTAGATGAAACCCTGTTTGGTTTAGGAGTGCGTTAGGTACCAGTGAGGCACTTTTTAGCTCAAATGTACTTCTCCAAAAATGACGCGACCAACGTAAAGATATTTATGTGGCTTTCATCGATTACGAAAATGCTTTCGATAGTGTGAAGCCTGGAATGCTTTTAAACACATTAAGAATCAAAGCCATTGATGGAGATGGAGAGTTACTAACTTTAGATATTTGGGATGCTACATTGTAGACCAACTAGATCCAAGTTAAAAGATTAAATTTAAAATTACGTCAAAGAATGATCAAATGCAAAAGATGTCATGGCTCAAGAATAGGAAGAAGAAGATACCTATCCCGTGATTTTATTTCTAATTTTTGTTAAGAATGTGATTTTAATTTAAATAAAATGTTTAGTTACATTTCCGTTTCTAATTGTACTATCAAATGCAGAATTAAATATATTAGTTAATGAATTTATTATTAAAAAAGTTAAAATACAATATTGCATGAGAAAACCCATAAGGGATGAAGCCAAAAATGTATAAGAATGGAGTAGGGAAAACGTAAAAAAAATGTAAGATTTTAGTAACAGTAAAAGTTTCTTAGAAATCTCTTGTTTTCTGAACATGTAAAAAATATTGAAAAACTAGGTAGAAATGTTAAATTTACTGATGAAAAAAAAGTTAGATGTACTTTTAGAGATTGTTGGAAATCCGCATAAGACAACTCGAGAACTTGCCGCCGTCAATGATGCAAGTAAATCATCTATTTTAAGAGTTTTGCATAAAGAAAAATATCACACTTACAAAGTTCAATTGGTTCAGGAGTTAAATGAAGATGATCATGATAGAAGGCAAGAATTCTGTGAAATGATGACTCATAATATTGAATATATGATAAATGTGATGATAAATATAGAATATATGATAAATGTGAGTCAAATATTGATAGATCGCAGTTTGGTTTTCGGAAAGCACGGAACTAGAGAAGCAATTTTCGCTCTCCAGGTGCTTACACAGCGGTGTAGAGACGTTGATAAGGACGTGTATTTGTGCTTTGTAGATTTTAGAAAAGCATTTGACAATGTCAATCATGAACAATTGATAGGTATTCTGCGAAAGACAGGTATTGACGACAAGGACATTCGAATTGTGGCAAACCTATACTGGGTCAAACAGCAAGAGCAAAAATTGGCAACGAACTCATTGAAAGCGTGCAGATCAAAAGAGGTGTCCGTCAGGGGTGTATATTATCCCCACTTCTATTCAATATGTATTCCGAGGAAATATTTAACAAATGTATGGAAAATGCAAATGAGGGCATAAAAATAAACGGCGAGTTAACGAACAATATAAGATATGCCGACGACACGGTGATCCTTGCCAGTACCATAGACGAATTACAACAAGTAATGGAAAGACTTTATTCAGTTAGTGAGGAATACGGTCTGAGCCTCAACTTCAAGAAGACAAAGTGGATGCTGATAAGCAAAAAGCAACAACCTGCTCGACAATTACGGATAAGTAACATACTAATTGACCATGTAGAATCTTATGTGTGCCTTGGCACCAACGTAAATGCAAAATGGGAACAGACCATAGAAATTAAGGCAAGAATAGAACGAGCTAGAGCAGCATTTAGCAATATGAAAAAGCTCCTCATAAGCAAGGATTTGTCTCTTCCCCTAAAACTACGTATAGTTAAATGCTACATTTTTCCGATCTTGCTGTATGGCGTGGAGGCCTGGACGCTGATGGAGATGCTAACGAGAAAACTAGGAGCATTCGAAATGTGAGTGTACCGACGCATTCTTCGTATATCCTGGACCGAACATGTCACCAACATAGAGGTACTCCAAAGAATCGGAAAGGAGAAAGAAATCGTGAATACAATTAAACAAAGAAAGCTTGAATATCTAGGCCACATATTGAGACACGATAAGTACCGTCTGCTACAATTGATTATCCAGGGAAAAATAGACAGTAAGCGAGGGCCAGGCAGGAGAAGACACTCGTGGCCCCAAAATCTGCGGAAGTGGTTCGGGCTCACATCGGTCGAACTATTCAGAAGCGCCACAAACAAGATCAAAATTGCCATGTTAATAGCCAACGTTCGCAACGGACAGGGCACTCGAAGAAGAAGAAGAAGATGACTCATATGATGATTCATAAACAAAATAGTTTTTTCCTGATGAAGCGACATTTCACTTAAACGGAACGGTTAACAAACAGAGCTGTAGATATTGGAGCAGAGAAAATCCTCACTGGGTGTGTCAGACTCACGCAACTCACGGGGTGGTATCATTAATAATAAAATTATTGGTCCTTATTTCTTTGAGGGTACAGTTGCTGGTGCTCCACCGCATTTTGCAGGTATAGTAAGAAATTATTTAAACGAGGTTTTCCCAATAGGTGGATTGGAAGACGTGGAATGATCGAATGGCCGGCTAGATCCCCCGATTTGACTGCTCTCGATTACTTCTTATGAGGTTATTTAAAATGTTAGGTATATTTTAATAGACCAAACAGTATTGCTGATTTAAAAGTTAGGATAATGGAAGAAATTAAGAAAATGACCCCCGAGGTCGTACAAAATGTTATACGAGAATTACAAAATCGCCTCGGTTATTTTCAAGAAGTGAATGGTGGTAATTTTGAATATTTAATTTAATTATAAAAGTACATAAAATTTTTACATCTTAAATTTTACATCTTAAAAATCAATTTTCTCAGTTATGATTGCAAAATACTTTATATTGCTAAACAGAGAACTAAAATCCCGTTCTGACAATTCACTATACGACCCCCTTTGTTATTGAAAATTTTGGAGGGGGTTCTTATAAATCAAAGGGGGGTGCTGGAAGGGTATAATATTTTTATACTGTAAATTGTCAATTTAAAAATAAAAATGAACCTGTTTTAGGTTTCATTAAATTCTAGGTAATAATTAATTGTTTTTACAAATATCTTGCACGTAAATATAAAATAAAAATGTTTAAATCTTTTCATAACCTTATTAATTACCATGGAATGTCTTTAATGTTGAACAGAAAAGGTAAAAACTGGTAGACAAGCAGTTCCCCATTTCCTTCCATCACAGCAAATTCAGGTGATAGGGTGTACATCCCAAAATTATGTTATTAGGACTGAGTCTAAGTACTGTTCTGAAGCTATTTTCTTGTGGCATTGTAAATTAATTACTATTAAACTGGGAATAAGCCACAATTAAAGATAAAAATACGTTTATTGACGTTTCAATTTCCACTTCGGAAATCGTTCTCAAAATACAAACAGTAAATTAAACAAATTTTGTTTTTTGTTACATAGTGAAAAATTCTTCTAATAATTTAATTTTATCTGACTCATTTATATTGACAATTCAGACATACATTATGCATTTTAAAGTAGACGACTTTAAAATGCATAATGGATTTTTATATAAAATATTTTTATATTTTTATATTATTTTATTTTTTATTTACACGCATGGGATAATGAACATAGGGTTCAATGGAATAATTCAAATGTAGTCCTAAAAGAAACGAATGGTAAAAAAAAATCAAAGAAGCGGCTCTAATTATGCTAAATGAGGCCAATTGTGTCGCAAATTCCTCGGCAGAATGTAGTAGGATCTGGTTACCAATATTGAAAGAGGAAGTTATTAATAAGAAAATACCAGTATTAGTAAGTCAGTAACATATAGAGGATACATCATTTATGTTTTTTAAATAACGTAACATATAAAATCAGAATTTTGATGTTTGTTGAAGGTAAACTAAATTCACGAACAAATACTTACAATGTCGGGATAGTATTATGAGGTTTTTTTCCTGGTTTTTCCCTCATAATTTACTATGGAATCACTAACAGGAGAATTTTACTGTCATCATGTCATGTGTTTGTCTTTTTAAAGACGAATTACATGCTATGATTTTTTTCTGACGGATATTCTCAAGTTAAAGTTGATTTCATGTAATCGAATGAACTATCTTATAAGTAAAGTCGTCCCAGGAGCGCAACTTAACAATATTGGCAATATCATTTTAAAGTCGTCTACTTTAAAATGCATAATGTATGTCTGAATTGTCAATATAAATGAGTCAGATAAAATTAAATTATTAGAAGAATTTTTCACTATGTAACAAAAAACAAAATTTGTTTAATTTACTGTTTGTATTTTGAGAACGATTTCCGAAGTGGAAATTGAAACGTCAATAAACGTATTTTTATCTTTAATTGTGGCTTATTCCCAGTTTAAGAGTCTAAGTACATCCCAAAATTATTTTATTAGCACTATATCATTGCTCTTTTGCAGATCACTAAAAGTTTTATGTACTTGATTTTTTCCTGTTGTCTTTTCTATGATCTGCTTTAAGCAAACCACTTTACACGACTTGCCAGCTCTGAATCCACTTTGTTTATTTTATCAGTCTTTCTTGGAACCTTCTGTTATATTGAGATGTATGCCACTTTCCTTTGGATGAGAATGGGATATACATTTATACATATACATATTAACAATATTTGTAATCAAACGATATAGTTTTTAGAACACATTTGAGGAGTATTTCAAATCACCTCCTCAAATAATTTTAACTAATCATTAGAAAGGCGATAATAAACTTGTGGAGTATATTATTCAAATAATTTTTCTTAATAAAAGATTCACCCTGTATGACAAACACTAATCTCCTTCACAAAGATAAAGATAAAATAACCCACAACAAACATTAAAAACGAATTGAAAAAGTAGTTGCTCTACAGTTATCAAAGCTTCCTACAGGCTAATGAAGACACGCGATACGTTTGTCGTGCAGCCAACGATATTCGATTCACGTATACGCTCTTTTGTGGCTTCTCGAAAACGTTTCATGTCTACCTTAGTTGATGTGTTAGTTCATGGTGCAAAGTGTATGTAAACAATGGCTGATCCGACCATTCAGACGTTTTGTTGCCATCACGGTAATGGCACCGATATGGCTATCGCCATCATGGAAGAGTTTGATACAAACGCTTACAATGGTGTTTGTATAATGTCATCGACTTTGGGAATACTTGGAGCTCTTTATCAGGTACTCTTTTAACAATGTCAATATTTAACTTTTTTGTATGATTTTTCCGTAAACAGAAAATTTTCTGTAATTGCTAGATAACGTTTTTGAAAATTTTAGTGTAAATACGATTAGGAAGAGTTTAATACACTGATATTATATATACTGATGGCCACAAAACCTGGACACATAAAACAATTTTACTATAGCTTCTTTTATAAAACACAACGAAATATTATACAGTTGAGATACTTTATATAGAAAACATCTAAAACAATCCACTAACTTTTATTTTTTAATACATCCTTCACTTCTCAAAACTCAACTTTACGCTGCTTTATAAGTTTAACACTTTTTTTGGGAATCTGCTGTCATCTATTCTTTGTACGTGCCCATACCATCTTAGTTGGTTAATTCTGATGTGCTCTGTTACTCTATGTTTAACGCTCATGATTTTTGAATTCTCTTTCTTACTCTGTCTAATCTTGATTTTCCGGTTGATTTCATCCAATAATCCATTTCTGTTCCTTCCAAAGTCTCTTTCTCATTCAGTGGCTATATTTCGCTTTCATATATAACAATGCTTTCACAATGTATGTATATATTCTGTGTTTAGTTTCTCCCCAAAAATTGTTTTATCCCACACTATGCTGTTCGATTGCCGAATGGCTTGTCTTCCCAGGTTATTTCTGTATTTAATCTCTTCATCCAAATTGCTGTCATTGGTGATGTGTATGCTTAGATATTCATACATTTTACAGTGATTTATTTGTTGGTGTTGCTCTTCCAAAATTAGATTTGGTTGTTCTCTTTCTATACACATGTATTCTGTTTATTTTTGACATTTACTTTTAAGCCCCATTTCTGATATTCGTTAATAAGTTTACGTGTCATATATTCTAGATCCTAGCAGTCCATAGTGTGTACAATGTGATGTCGTTTAAAGGAATCACATACCATTACTTTTACTTTTCCATGTCTTCAGCGCTTGCTCCAAGTAGATCATAAACAAAGTTCCAAATAGATTATAAACTTGTTTGAATCCTTTGTTTATCACAAACCCTTTGGGTTTATATGTCTTGGCCTATTGTTATTTTGCTCGTGTTATTATTATAGAGTTCTTGCACTGCCTTGATCAAAGTTACATTGATGTTTGTTTTTGCTAAATCTTCCTATAGTTTTTCTTATGGTACAATGTCGTATGGTTTTCAAAAATCTACGTATAGGAGGTGCATGCTTGGTTTCGTGCCGATTTTTTTAAGTTGGGTAATCGTAAAAAGATGGTCATTACCTAGTCAATCTACCTGCTATGAAGCCAGCTTGTTCTTCGGCCTCCAAATCACTGTATTCTCTTTCTATCCTCTGTTTGATTAATTTTCCTTAAACTCTCGACATATTGCATAACACTGCTATTCCTCGATAATTGTCACATATGTCTTTAGCTCCCTTTTTATGTATAGTTGGTATAACCGATGTTCTCCACTCTTCCGGTATATTCTCTCCATTTATACATTTTTGATTCATACTGTTTAGCTACCTGTATAGTTTTTTGGTTCCGTATTTTAGTAGTTCGGGTGGGATATTACCTGAAACTGATGATTTTTTTTCTTCAATATTTGACATACTTGTTTTAATTCTTGTGTCCATCCTTAGTGGGGATGTTATTGTATTTACTTGTACATAAAAGTGTGCTCTTACCTCCCATATAAGTGTTAATTCTGGAGCAGTTTTTCTCCCAGCGTTCGTTTTTCTTTTTGGTTTATAGGCTGCCTAAATGAAACAGTATGGAGAAATAAAAATATCGGAAAAGAAACGAAAGGCACAATTTACAAAACAGTCATCAGACTAATAATGACATACGTGGCAGAAACAAGACCTGACACAAACAGGACAAAAAGGATGTTAGAAACAGCAGAGATGAAAACACTTGAAAAAATTGATGGTAAGACACTATGAGACAGAGCTAGAAGTACATATATACGACATAGATGTAAGGTGAAGAACATCAAAAACTGGGTAGTAAAGACGGCAAGAGACGGTTCCCCAATAGGAAGACGATCAGTAGGAAGACCACGAAAACGATGGAATGACAACTTACTGGAGGCACATTGAAAGACAGACAGAGTTATGTCTATATAAAGAAAAGAAGAAGAAGAAGAAGTCCGACTGCTGGGTACCTTCCTGTATGTATGAAAGGGTGGATTGTTGAAAAATGTTCCATCTTATGTAAACATTTTTGCTGAATACGAATACGTAGGTTCCGGATCTCCAAAATTGATACCAATTTTTATAAATAATTTTTTTTGTAAATAAGTTTCCAAATTCAATTGTTTTATTTCAAACACCACTAGCACCGCGGCACTAGTTGTAAAGTAAAATATTCAAATTTGGATAAGATAGAATAGTTATCAACCATCAAGACATATGGACACTCATTGCGGGGTTTTTTTAGATTTAGGTATTCTGGAGAAAAAATGTTTGTACTCTCTTAGGTTTTCTTATCCTTGCTCCGTCTTTTTGGTCTCAGTTAGTACTAAAATATTCATGTTAGCTTTTTTTGATTCTGATCTGAAATTGTGTCATGATTTGACTTTGCCATCAATTTATTCCACTCTTCTCGCATAGTATCTCTCGCATCTTCTCGCACTTTATAAGTAGTCATTAAATGCTGTGTTATAAATTGTAAAAATACAAAAAAAAGTAAATTCCAGTTCTATCGGTTTACAACTTCTAAGCACAAATTACTGCAACGAAAAAAAGTGGATTTATATCATAATAAACCAGAAGTAAGTAACATAACCCAAATTCTGCATTCTTACGCCCGATTTCTTAATAAGTTTGACGTGAACATTAAATTAAAGTTTACTTTAAAGTGTACATTTAATATAAAGTTAACTTTAAGGTGTAAATTTCAATAATAATCATGATGATTCAAATTTGTTTACAATTTTTTTTTTCAAATTTAATTTACTCATTGCGCCACCCAAAAGTTGACAGGAAAAGAATTACCTCATGACCGGCAATCACTGTTTGCCAATTGGATGTTTCCGTCTTCTAGCATACCATGTGAAGGTACAGATTTGGATTTTTTTCGTCGATATTAAGGCTTATCCTCGATAATTGTAACGGTAAAATTCAGAGAGATGTCTATTTCAAAAATATCTTTCTTTACAAAAACAAAATCCATTCACGAAGAATATTCTAAACGTCATCTTGTACTAGAGGTAAGCTTTATACCTACCTTATACAACCCCCTATTGTTTAAAGTCTTGGGTCTATACAATAAACGACTGGGCGGCCTTCTATTCAGTGTGGTTTTGAAATAATGTTGAAGAAAAACATTCATGAAATTAAAATGAAAAAATTTACGTGTATTAGTAGAAGTGTGATTTATAAAATTAGTACTTGAAGCATAAATCGCGGGAGGAATATGTGCATCAGTTTTCAAATATTTATTATTTACTATATAATTTCTAAATTGAATCACTTTCACTTCTTTAGTTAACAATGTATCTGTTTTGACAACTAAATAGGTAATTAGACAAAATAATTATTAATTTCAAAACAGGAGTTTAAAGAATTAGAAAGAGGTAGCCCGGGCCCAGTTAAATGGTCAAGCTTATTCCAGTGGAAGCAATAAGGAGGATTATTTTTCGTTTTGGCACAGCTGACATGCTCTCTCTAGTAATACAACCCATGAAACTGTGGTAAAAAGCATGCTTTATTTATACGGTTGTGAAACACGACGATTAACAGAGACAGATTAATATCGAAGAAAGATATCTCGTCGAACTTAATGCAATAAAGTATGAGAATAGAAGGTACAGTCATGGATGGCATACAACGAAAGCAGCTCAAATGGGTACAGGTCCAATAAATGAAAGACAAGAGACTCCTAAAACAAGTACCTGTATGAACACCTACCGTAATCCAGAAGAGAGGATTACCTTAGAAAACACGGATGGAAGGAATAAGAAACTTAATGAGCTCGAAAGAACTTAAAGAACAATGGAACAACCGAATTGAATGAAAAATGAACGTCGGAAGACATTTTATAAGGATTATATCATATTATAGGTACATTTTTTGGACTAAAAATAAATTTGAAGAAAACCAAGTTCATGGTATTTACAAAAGCACAAAGCATCAAAGTTAAGCTAGTACTAGATAATATAGAAATTGAACAAATATCTTTGTACAAATACCTTGGAGCATGGATCACAGAAGATACTGATTAGGCAAAAGAAATAAGATGCCGCGTTGGAATTGCACGGTCAACTTTTAATAGAACGAGAAAACTTTTTGTAATCGAGATATCAATATATCGCTCCGGATAAGAATGCTTTGATGTTATATTTTCTTTACCCTTTTATATGGGATTCAAGCTTGGCCACGGATCGCAAAACAACCGAACAAGTTCTCGAACAACTAGGAAAACAATGCGAAGTTTTAAATTCCATAAAAATCAGGAAATTAGAATACTTGGGGCACATCATACATCACACATCAAGGCGTAAAATCTAGTGGTTACGTAATTTCCGTGAATGGTTTGGATGCAATTCAACTGAACTATTCAGGCGCATATCCAACAAAATGATAATTGCCAGAATGATTTCCAATCTCCGATAGGAGTGGAACTTGAAGAAGAAGAATAAGTACATTATTATTATATCATATTATATATATATATATATATATATATATATATATATATATATTTATATAATATATGATATAAACGATATTGAAAGAGGTTACAACATGGACAATCAACAAAATCTACATCGACAACTACACAGTGAACACCCAACAATAATAGAAGTGTCAAATGCCGTCCTAAAACTCAAAGACAATAAAGGCACAGTAATCGATTAAATCTGTTGGAAAATATATAAAAAAAGGTGATGATCAGCTTTTTGCAGTAACCCATAAACTAATAGTACTTATATGGCAAAATGAATTTGTTCCAGAAGAGTGGCTAAATGAAATAATATACGTTGCATAAAAAGGACGATTAACTGGATTGTAAGAACTATAGAGGCATTACTCTGTTAGCATCTTCACCTGTTAGCACCCTGCTTGGCAGGGTCACATATCAGATCAATTTACGGTTGCAAAAGGCTTGAGACTGGGAGATCCTTTATCCACTACATTATTCAAATTAGTATTAGAAACTGTAATCAGAAAATGCAGCATGAAGATGGAAGAAACGATCATGAAAAATGAGCACCAGTGCTTGGCATTTGCTGATGATCTAACGATCCTAGCAAAAACCGAGTAAGAATTAAGAAGAGTTGTGAAGAAAATCATCGAAGAAGCACAGAAATTTGGATTGGAACTAAATGAAGACAAAACTAAATATATGATCATAGAAAGAACAGAAGGGAAAAAAGAAGACTTTAGTATGAGGTCAGTAAGTGGTAAAAGCTATAGTTTTAAAAGGGTGGACAAATTTGTAAATTGTGCAAAAAAATAGGTGTAGTTTTCGATGAAAATGGAAAAGATAAATGGGAGCTCGTAACCAGAATAGCAAAAGGGAATAAAAAATTAGGTGGTTTAAGAGCCCTACTGAACTCAAAATACGTTTCTAGACAAGGTAAACTCAGAATATATAAAACAGTAATTCGACCCACAGTAACATATGCCGGTGAGCCTGGACATTAAATAAGAAGGAAGAGGATACTCTGGAAAGATGGGAAAATAAAATATTGAGATGCATATTCAGAGGATGAAAGGCAGAAGATGGTTGGGAAAGAAGAACCAACAATGAATTAATGGCTTTATATAAAGAACCTACTATTACCAAGTTCGTCAAGGCACAAAGAATCAGATGGTTGGGACATGTGGAAAGAATGGCAGCAAACAGAATTCCTAAACTAGTAATAACCAGAAAATTAATCGACCCCAAAAGAAGAGGTAGACCCAGAACGAGGTGGATTAGTAAAGCGGAGGAAGACCTTAAACACGTGAAGGTGAGGGAATGGAAAAAAAAGCACAAAATAGAAGCGAATGGAAAAATATTGTACACCATGTCCTTCAGAGTAGTTAAGAATGTTATATATACATAATTACGTTAAAGTTTTGTTTAAAATAATTGTAATTAGTTAATATTAGAATTATGTTGTAAAAAAATGCTTTAGGCCTTAACGGCCTATTGTGCGTAAAAATAAATAAATAAATAATAGAGTGTAAAAATCGAAAGAATCGCGTTTTTTGCATTAATTGTTAATCATTAAAAAACGGCTCCGAACTTTACGCAGGAAACAGGTAGGTTTTCTTCTTATAGGTCTACAATAACTAAAAAAGTTGTCAGCTACCTGGATTATTGAGTGTCACGAGAAAATCCTTATTAGCCTGGACTAATATGGCTGGACAAGCAAGTGAAGAAACAAACTTCATATATTATGTAAACTTTACTAACAAAAACGTTGAAAATAAATATTCCTATAAATATAAATAATCAAATTCCATATTCAAATACAGCAAAATATTTGGGTATTGTCCAATAAATATAAATAATCAAATTCCGTATTCAAATACTGCAAAATATTTGAGTATTACTCTAAGCTTTTATGTAAAGAAGAAAAGAAAATAATAATTCTGATTGAGATACAAAAAAATGTACTGGCTGATTGACCAAAATTCTACGCTGTTTCTACATAATAAATTATTATATAAGCAAATACTGAAACAATAGTATTATTATAAAAACATTATAAACATTTAGAAGGAAAATGTTACAAATTAACAGAAAATATTTCTATTTATATAAAAATTTAATCAAATTATAGGTACTTAGTATAGGTACTGCTTATTTATATAAAATTTCCTCAATCGGAACATAAACTTCTTCGTGAACTACCCATTTTAAAAACAATTAACACACTGGTTTGTCAAAAGTCGAAATAAACCCTAATAATGTTATTCAACATTATTTATGACCCACCTTCGAGAGGGTATTATACTTCTTACCTAACCAACCTAACCGTGTCGACGAGAATCCAGAAACTATCGACAAGGACAGCCTGTACTGGCCGAGAGAGAAAGTTACATTTAGCAAAATTTGAGATTTTAAAAAAAGTTTATACCAAATAGCTGCTTTGTGTTACACTTTATGTTAAAAATAAAAACAGATTCGGAAAGTGGGTCAAATTCTGTAGTGCCCTATTTAAAAAAAAAAAAAATTTTACGTTTATTTTAACCAAAAATATTTGAAAAAAAAATATTGTTTAAACAATTTATTAATTTACAACTAAATAGTGCACTAGAACTTTTTAAGACCTTTCATATAAAAAAAGAATCATCTCAATATCTGCCATAGTTTTTGTGTTATTTGATATAAACTTTTACATTGGAACTTAGGTATGCCCAGAAACGCAAGGAACGGCCTTAAGACCTTTCGGTATTTTCTAATCACTCCAGAGCTTTAGAAGATCCTTAGTCTCAGAATTATTTTGTTTTAATTGTCGTTCTTCTCAAGGTTTAGGCATCAAATTGCAATATTAGTTTTGATATTTAAGTTAATACCTTTTAATTTAGTTTTATTATAAATCAAGCTATTTCTTTTTCTATCTAATCTTCAGCATTTTGTCTTTCCACAAATCGTTGTGTTTGAGCAATTATCTCCTTGGTAAGCGTCCATGTTTAAGAGTTGTTTGTGAGAACAGATAGCACATACTAATTGAAGAGCCTTATTATTAGATACCGAGGGTACTCCTTTTTATTATTATTTAGTATACAATAGAGTTTACCTACCTATATTTCTTTTTTTTTATTTCCTCCGTTTGATTTTCTATTCAGTTTTGTGATTTGTTCTAAGTATTCAGTTACCTACTGAACTTCCTTCGTTTCGAACTTTAGCCTCGTTGTGATATTTTTTAAAGGGAGATAATCCAAATATTTTAGTTTAAAACATAATTTTTTTTTCAGATTTTGCCACGGGAAGAATTTTCGAACAATCATAGGTGGTATTCATTTTCGGCTAAAAGAGGGCGAAAAATCATAGTATGGTTAGCAGTTGCTGATCTTTTGGCATCTTTAGGCAAGTAAGCAAAAAGAATATTAATATGAGTATGTACTAGTTATTTGTAGAATGTGTTACATACATCTGAAGCATTTTTCAAATCTGCATATCTGTAGCATTCCACGTTGTTATTTTTTGTAGGTATAACTTACTGAAAATGTGTATTTATGAACAGCTTGATGTTTTAAGAACATGTTTGTGATTTTCAATTCATTATTGGTAGCCACCCCTCTTAATCCCTGTCCCTTGTGTATACATGCTGTTCTTCGTTTGTTCCAACTTTTTGTAAAAAAGCATGTGTCCGATTGTAGCGAGCGAGAGTTTTTTTAAGTGATGGAATAAGTAATTTTGGGATTGGGATGTTCATTGAACTTTATTGTTTTCTATGTAGATAATAAAATTTTTATTCTATGTTCAGTTTGCACCAAGATGTCGATATGGAATTGCAAACAAACAAATTTTTTACTTATCTCATTATATGGCATCACTCGTAGAGATCTTAATAAAAAACTAACCTAGGATGACCTTGCTTCTTGTTTAAAGTCTGATCTTTAGCATGTTCGATCTTAATATTTAAAGATATTTGTTCAGTTATATAAATTTATTTTTACTCTGCACTTATTAGCAATTTTTAATTTTAAACACAAAATTGTTTATTTTCATATCTGTTATCTAATTAGTGTATGTTTAGATGATTTATAAAAAATTAGAGGATTAATAAACAAGAAATTGTTAGCTTTATGAAATTTGGAATGTATGTTAAAAATGCGAGATTGTCAATGTTATGCTTTGAAGATATGGATATATAGACCTATTAACTGAATAACATGGTAAGATGTATTTGAGGTGGGAAAATTTGGACTGGAGATATATTTAGTTAATAAATAACATGCTTCATTGGCGTCATTTGTTTACTTCGGATACTTTTTGTTTATGAAAATAGTTGTTTCTTTTTAAACGAAAATCTGTATAATCCTTCCACCGTTACTAAACAATAACAAACCGACGTTCGTGTACCTGTCGGACCTCAGGAAAATAAATGAAGAAGAGAGTTCTGACTTTGATCACCTCAGAAATGAGAATGCCGTTGAGTTGACTACCGCGAAGAGAAAAAAACAAAGAAAGAACCCCTTACTGATGGATGGATAAGATAAAGGTCTACGGGAAAGTGCCTCCGAGCTCGTTGGAATTATAGGGTAAAGTGGGGGAAGTGAGCTTCCTTTTATTCATATTTGGTTTCAATTGTATCAATGCTTCAATTGGGTTATTTCTGCCAAATCGAGAATAAGTGCACCAAGTACTTTGACAATGATTTTTATTTAGGGAAGATTCCAAATCTGTGGCTTTCCACGATTATTAATTATAATTTTCTTTCTCTTACATATCACAGTAGCGCACTTGCCCCGTCAGTTTGGGACAAGTGTGTCTCCCGGGCATAGTTTTATATAGTTTCCTTGCGTTGAATTAAAGGGGTAAGTGCACTTATTTACTAGGCTTTTTTGAACACAGTTCTATTTTTTTTTCATAATTTTGAAAACAAAATAACTTCAGAAGGGTCTAATGACACACCAAATAATGAGAAAGTACTTTATTTAAACGCAAAAATTGTACAGTTTATCTTAATTTATGTTGTATATCTTGCGGAAACTTAATATTAAAATTAGGCATTCCTCTTTTAACACGTGGAGCTGGTAATACTTTAAGGATATGCTTTTTTGTCACAAGGGATATATCTTCTACCTGAAGAAAAACAAAGCACTTTGTTTTTTTCCTCAGGAACTTTACCTGAGTATCACTTTCAGTGAGATAAATTACGTGGCTTACGTGGTTACGGTTAGAGGTAACTGCCTGAATACTAGATTCTCACCTCCACAAAAAAAGGTAGAGAGTAGAAGAAAACCAGAAGCTCGCGTAGACAGAGGAACTAAATTCCTAAAATAGGTCAACTATTCTCTATCGGAATCATAAAGGAGTACCTACCTACTATCTAAAGGTGGAAAAACGATACACTTCTACGAATCATGAGCACGGACTAGATTTCGTACAGGATATCAAACAAATGATCATTTTTAATATATAAATGTCATAAATGAGGTAACTCGGGAATATATTAAGTCTTTATTGTGCACTACAATTACTCAAATTAAGGTAATTTTCCCCCTCATTTCTTGAGCACTTGTTAGTTAGGGTGTAGTGACACTCTAAATAATATTAGCTTGCTGTATCCATCGGCTGCGATCTTGTGGACGATAGATATGGACGGCTTTATGTAGGGATTTTCCCACCATAGTCTTCATTTGGTCTGCCTATTGTGTTAGAGATCTTACTCTTGGTTTCTGGCCTTCTACCTGTCCTTCTACTACCAATAGTTCCATGGTCCCTGTTCTTCTAGCTATGTGGCCGAAGTAAATTAGATATGCTCGGTTTACTTTTTTTAATAGCCTGTCGTTTATATAAAGTTCTTTCAGAATTGACAGGTTAGTTCTATGTTCTAGAATTTTTATATAGTCCCACATTTCGAAGGCTTCGATCTTACTCCTATCGACTTTTTGAGAGTCCATGTTTCAGCTGCGTATGTAGCAATGGGAAAATAAGGGCATTGACCAACCTGAGCTTCGTATTCCTTGTTATTGTTGGTTCTTTCCATATTTAAATCAATTTAGCTGTAGCGATTCGGTCCATTTCTACTCATCGTTTGATTTCTGAGGAGCAATCGTCATTGTAGGTTATCAGGGAGCTTAAGTACACAAATCTGTCTTCTTCTTCTAGTTTCATGACCGTTATCGATCGTTGGATATCATGTTGGCTACCTTATTCGCTATCGTGACTTTATTGACAGCAGCTCTAAATAACGATGTAGTTGATTTTCCATACCATTGCCTTAGATTTTTCAGCCATGATGTTCTTCTTCTACCAGCACCACGATTACCTTGGATCTTTCCCTGAATGATCAGATGTAAAAGATCATATTTTTCAGGGTGTCTCATAATATGACCGAAGTATTCCAGCTTGCGTTTCTTTATTATATTGACCAGTTGTGTTGTTTGGTTCAGCCGTCTAAGGACCTCCTCATTTCTAACTATGTCGACCAAGCTTATTTTCAGTAGTCGTCTGTATACCGACATCTCAAAGGCTGTCAATCGTTTAAGCATAGCCTCAGTTAGGGTCCACGCTTCTACTCCATACAGCAGGACAGGTCTACCATCAGTCTACCACTTCGAAATTTGCTATTTGGTGTATGTGCGGTAAATTATTATTTACTCTGTCTACGATCATTATTTTTGTTTTTCCTGTGTTGATCTGAAATCCGAATTCTTCGCTTATCCGACTTAATCGTTCAGTGATGGTAATCATTTTGACTTCATTCGCTGCTAGTATAAGTGTGCCATCTACGTATAGCACGTTGCTGATTTGTAATGTAATTTGAATGTAATTTTAGATGAGCTTAATTTCTTAACAGTTGAATATTAATTTTTATTTCAGGTGTTTTTACACGATCTATGATATGGTTGAATTATAAAAATATTATGCCCTCTTCACATGATGATTCCAGCGTGGTATTTTGCGCAGTATCGTCGGTAAGTATTCTTTTTCTTAAAGTACCCTATCATTACGAAGCTTTTATTCCATATATGTTATTCTTTCTTTTGCTGGTTTCAATATTATATCTTTTGTATTATTCCACTATATTTATTTACTCCCATTTATATTATTTTTTAATCGTTTTTTAGCATTCTTATATTACATTTCTGCTCTTGTATTCTGCGTTCATTCGTCTTAATTTCATTGTCACGACAGTAAGCACGACTTTACATGCATAATTTAGAAAATAGATCAAACAATATTCTCTGTTCTACGTTTTTTAGTACGTATATTCTTTAGTGGAGAATATTTTTTAATTTTTTCGATATCTTTTCTATTACTTCTCTATTTCTATTCAGTGTAAGACAATAAACCGCATCTAGATTTAAACAGGAATTATCTTGACAAATATTACTTGTTTTAGGCACTCACTCAGTATTTCTATACTGCAACGTGGGTATGGACATTATGCTATGCCATAGACATGCGGTTGATCCTAACACAAAAAGATAGTCATACGAAGTTGTACCATCTGACTGCTTGGCTAATACCTGCCGTTACTACAATTGTTGGATTAGTCCTGTTGTACACACCAGATGCTAAGTAATGTATTTTTGTAACCCATATTCACGACACAAAAACGGACATTCCTATATTTGTGATTAATTTTTTATTGGTTTTTATTTATTTATTTTTATTTTTTGGTCACCAAACAATACGGTTTATACCTACCATCGAGCAAAAAGACAAAAGAGGGAATGTAAAGGTAGTGGGGGCAAAAATATTGTTAGACAGGAAGTGCGATCTTTAGAAGCCACATTAAACAAGGAAAGAGAGTCTCTCTCCTTGTTTGACATCAAATTTAGTTGGGTTATGTTATTGTTTGTCCCAAATGTCACATTAAATCTTATTTATATTGAAGTTTTTTAACATTTGTGTCGCATTTTAGACTATTACCGTAATAATTAACTAAAACTTTCTCGTCTTTTAATTAAAAACTTTTAATAAGTGTCGGAAAATTTAAATTTGGCGCATTCGCATTTCCGGATATGTCCGCCATCAGAGGCCACTTTTTTGGTCTCCTTTTCATAAGGATTAGATTCCCTCTTTTGTCTTTTTGGTCGATGGTTTATACTCAGTTTGCAAATTATTGATTGCACAGTTTTCTACTTTACATAACCTCAATACTTTATAAATGTTGGGATTCGGGTAGTAGCCTGGCCTCCTAGAAGTCCAGACCTTTACCTCATAAAGCATTTGTGGGAAAATTCGGGAAGAATAGTTACGCAGGACGTCCCGTCCCCTACTTTGTAACGCATTTTGTCCCGTAGGACGGGGCAGGACGCGGGATGGGACAGCGATTTTTACTGCGGGAAGTCCCGCATGTTCCGCAAAAACTGCACTTTTACTATTATCAGAATGAATTGTTAATTAAGGTTATATAATTAACATTATGTTTGCAAAATCAAACTATTTATAGAAATTAAAAGATTTTTTGTTTCAATAAAATTTATGTTGATCAAACATAGTTAATACATTTAGAATAACAATTCATTTTAATTATGGCGATGCATAATTTTCTTGGGTTTATTGGGTCCTTCTAATAAACCGTCACCCGATATTGCGGCGACACCTCCAGATGATGATACCTATGAATCTAACCGTGAACTTTTTTTTTTAATTTTTGCATTAGGAGTGGATCCATACAGCTAAGTAATTAGTAACACTGTTACTAATTGTAATACATTGATTAGGCTAAATAGTACTGCTAGATATTTGTAGTGTTTAATTAGCAAATTAATAATAATTAATTTAGCAAGATTAATGTTTTCTGTACTAATTATACTGATTTATTGACTGATTCAGTTAGGTAAGATAGGTAACTATGGAATTATTTTGTATTATAGGTTCATCATACTTTTTTTCATTGTTATCCTTTGTTTTGCTTATATTTTTCTCAGTGTATTTAGAACATTTTATGAGTTTTTGCGTACTTTACTGGTTTTCTTTTGAATTCTTTTTCATGTCACAATAAATGTCGTATTTCATAGAAATTATTAAAGATTTAGACGTACAAAACTTTTTCATTTGTAGCGTTTTTGTAGTTAGTACTTACAGCTTTATCTTTTTTTTTTCAGCTGTCATATGCCATCGACTTTGGGAACAACCATCCTGAGAATTCTTCCCAACTATATCGCAACTTACGTCCCGATACTAACAGTAATGATAGCAAATCCATGTCTATATAAATCATCAACGAACGATATGGAGAGAATAATCACTAGCTCTTTCGGTCAATTTACAGCCAAAGAAAGAGAAATTATCAGAGCAATAAAAATAAAGTTTTCTGTGATAAATATTGTATTCTATGTATGTTGGTTACCTAACTTGGTGAATGGTATTTTGTTATGGGCATTATGGTTTCATCTGCCTATTAGAATTGTTATATCAATATGGTATATAATGGTTAGTATATTTAATAATAATTGCTACTTATACATAAATGAATGGATAATAAAAACAAGCTAAAAATTTGATAGAAGTCATATATTACAATCATTAGTAATTATTTTCTAGAGGAAGGTAAAATGAAAGAAATAGTAGAACTATAAAAATAGTCTCAAAAATACTTATAATAAAATTTAATATAATAATGTTTATAATAATGTTTATTTACTTTCCATTATACAATATAAAACATGTTACAATATAATAGTTCAATATAATATAATTACAAATTAATTCAAGCTAAATATTTTGTACGTTAGACGTACGTAAGCAGACGACGTGGACATTATAACAAGAACTAGGGCGAGAACTGCGGAAATCCTAACCGAGCTAGTAGCAGAAGCAGAACGAATGGGGTTACATATAAATCAAAATAAAACCAAATTCATGGCGACTAACACAAACACAAGAGCTGGAAATGTTGACACAAATTTAATCATCAATGACCAACACTTCGAAGCAGTCAATGAGTTCATATATCTAGGGACATCGGTTAACCCCAATAACAATACATCTGAGGAAATAAAAAGGCGAATAATAATTGCAAACAGGTGTTATTATGGTCTATCAAAGCACTTAGCTAACAAACGTCTGTCTCAAAAAACTCGTATAAGGCTGTATAGAACACTGATAGTCCCCGTTCTCACATACGGATCAGAGGCATGGACGCTAACGAAAACAGATGAATTCGCTCTATTCATTTTTGAAAGAAAGGTGCTACGCAAGATATTTGGAGCGGTCTGTGAGAACGGAATATGGAGGCGTAGATATAACTTCGAACTGCAGAATATCTACAAGCATACGTTTGGTGGTAAAGATATTACCACTATAATTAAGCGAAACCGCCTGCAGTGGACAGGACATGTAGCCCGGGCCCCTGAATCGAACATGATAAAAAAGATTCTAACAGCGCAATCTGTGGGAATGAGACGACGGGGTAGACCAAAGCTGAGGTGGATGGATGGGGTAACACAAGATGCGGAGAAGATCGGAGTCGGCAACTGGAAAATTCAAGCAAGGGACAGAACAGAATGGCGTAGAAAGCTTGAGAAGGTCGAGGCCCTCTAAGGGCTGTAGCACCAAGATGATGAAATATTTTGTACAAACAAAAAATAATTGTTAGCAAATAAACAAAGAAGACATTCTCTGATGAACCAGAGGTGGTGCTCAGGGATTACACTCATTTACACTATTCTATCGCAATATTTGTTCTACAGTACCATTAGATTGATAATATAAAATATTATTACAAATATATAGTATAGTATTAATTATATGATGAATTTAATTAAAGAAAATGGCATCAAAAATTTCTGATCCAGTGTTCTTGAGAAATTTTATAAAAATAGATTTAATCATGTTGAATCAGTTGATTTTTCTCATGTAGGATTTATAGATCTGGGGTAAACAGTTAAATATTCCAGGATTAAAGTATGTGAAATTGTGTTTTCCCATTGCTTTATACTTGCCTATGTGGATTGACTGCCTAAAAAAGCTCTATGCAGAGTCGGAACAAACGACGCTAGAAACTGGAATTGAATAAATGGAATCTACGTGTAGTAGATTACAATAACTTACACTATATGAAGATAAATGAAGGCGAATAGAATTAAACAAAGGGGAGTTGGCATGTTTATCAATGGGAATCATTAATATGGATACCCAGCTAAACTATATCTTAAATGAATTATATGACATAACTACCAACACCACCTGCAATATAATAGGTCTTCTTCTTCTTCTTTGTCAACCATTTTCCATCCACTCCTGAATGTAGGTCTCTCCCAATTGCTTCCATCTTTCTCTATCTTGCGCCAATCTAATCCACTGTTTGCCTGCCACCGCTCTTATGTCATCTACCCATCTTTTTTGAGGTCTTCCCATGCTTCTTGTTGTCGTCCTTGGTCTCCATTCTAGAATTCTCCGTGTCCACCTGTTGTCATTATATCGGGCTACGTGACCTGCCCAGCGCCATTTCATTTTTGTAATTTCTTCCACAATATCCCTAATCTTCGTTCTACGTCGTATCTCGGTGTTTCTAATCTTGTCTCTTAGTGATATTCCAAGCATGATTCGTTCCATTGCTCTTTGCGTTGTTTCTAATTTTTTGGCAGATTTTTTGGTAAGTGCTACTGTCTCCAAGCCGTAGGTACAAACAGGTAGTATGCATGTGTTATACACTTTTTTCTTTAAGTTTATAGGAATGGAGGTGTTTTTCAAGATATGTGCTAGTTTGCCGAAAGCGCCCCAAGCCAGTTGTGTTCTTCTTTTAATTTCAGCATCTTGATTTGGTTTTCCTAGTTTGATAACATGACCTAGATATACATATATGTTCCACATTTTCTATGGTAAATAATAGGTAGAGTATAATAAAGGAAACCAGTTGGTTGCAAATGAGCACAAACCTCTGGCTAGTCATTCCACCATACGCTATAAATTTAGCTATAATGTGCGTCGGTTCTCTATCTAAACATATAACCAATCAAACGAGTTTTATAAAGCTGTCACCAAAATGCGTTGCTCAGACCCGAAACATAACATTACTCACATACAGTAATGTATTGGAAACATCAATTGGAAGTTATTTAAAGACTACCGTCAGTCCCACTGAAGAGCTTATGCAGAGGCCAATTATAAAGCAAAACAACACTCCCAGACATAATATAGATATTCGGGAAGATGAGTTGCCAAATATTGTACTTGAGGCAGAACAGTTTGAAGAACATATATCCAAACACACGTGGAAAACCATTGCTAACCATCAGTGGATTCCTCTTTTAACCACGGGACTAGTCACTATATTCATTTTTATGTTGATTGTCATTATGTGGAAGGTAGTCAGATATATTCGAAACTCCAAGTCAGCCAGAAAACAAAGGCATCCAGGTTCTTGCATCCAACCTCATCCAGCAACAACCGCGTAAAAGATGGATTGAAAACCTTCTATAGAGGTATTTATCTGCCAATGAACAAGCAGAAATGCTGATAAAGACGAAGAAGAAAAAGAATATTAAGCGAGATTATTTTAACATTATTTTCAGAAATCTCTTTTGTTGTATTTCCAGTTTAATCAAATGAGGAGCATATGTTCCATCCCATTCTAAAATGACATATATATGACGTGACTATACCAAAGATTAGTATATTATCTTTAAGTAAGACAAATTGAGAATATTGCTGAGATATTTAAATCTGCATAGTAACATTATTAGAATTTTACATATCATATCAACATGTACATCCCACTTCAAGTGACAATGAATATGAACGCCTAAATATTTTATGTATTTTTTCATATTTATTTTAATGTATGCGTTTCATTTCTCCTCTATATTACTCCTGTTTTAGGCATTAGTGAACCCCCTGCAAGCCTTGTTCAATTGTATCGTCTATAGGAGATGGAGTAGTGGTACTGAGCGGGTCATCTTGCCCTGGCGCCAGATCGAAAAAGACGATGAAGATGTCAAAAATAGCATTAGCTCAAAATCATCTGAAGAAAAGGAGGAGATTTACCCGCTGTTAAAAAATACTCCTACAAATAGTGTTAATTTGTACAAAAGTATATCTTAAAACGGTTTTTATTTATTAAAGTTAGTTTTTGTTTTATAGTTGGGTGATTTTTAACAAAAAATGATCCTTAGACACTTCTTCTTATAGTGATACGTCCCTATGGAAGCTCGACGGCTGCGATACTTTTAACATTGTTATATAGAAGTATGTCTTGATTACATGTAGCAGTTGGTATGGTGCCAAACCTGCATTCTGTGTTCTCTATTGATCAGTTCCTGCAAATCCTCGATTCAATTGCCTCGATAAAAGAGATAAGAGCACCCGGTTGACTTGGACATAGAGACCCTTCCTCAAAAAAACATCGCCCGCTCTACATACCAATCCTAATCCCAAATATTGCAGTAGTGAAGTAATTAGTAAACCTATGTAACCTATGTACTAACTTTAGACTCTCAATTTTATTTTCCTTTAAGTACGAGAAGAAGAAAAGTTATTGACCCTAAATGTAATTGTGTGTAAAAATACCCCTGAGAACGAAGAAGAAGAAATGACAATCCCAAAATCAATAGTGTTATTTCATACACCAAATATGTATATGCCAAGTTTTACGACTTTAGGAATTTTAAGATAAAGAAAAGATTTTTTAAGATTTTTTATTTTAAGATAAAGGAAAAAAGAAGAAATCTCGATACCAAAATTAAGAGATCATTCTTATACCAGGGAAAACTTGTGTCACAAGTTTGAGAACTCTAGAAGTTTGCTTTTAACAAAGTTAATAGGCCTAAGAAAATTAAAATGAAAAAAATAAGACCTGTTAACCAAAATTGACAAAAAATACTTATTGACGCCACATTTGCTAAGGATCCAACACGCTTACACCAATAGAATCATACGTACCAAGTCTCAAATATCTAGGACTTTTTGTGTAAGAAAAACAAAACACAAAACAATACGAGAAGAAGAAGGAAATATTTTATATTATACTATTTGTAATAAACTAGTTAATTCAACTAACTGTTTTTTTAGTCTTCAGTTTAACATAAAAACTGACCTATAATCTAATATAATATAAAAAAATTAAAAACTCACCTGAAAAAATATTAATTTTACAATTCTGTATGCGTTTCATAGTACCTTTCCTTCTGGAGACTGGCGACTAACTGAGGGGCCTCTTTAAGATGCACTGTTTATATTCCTGATCTGCATACTGGATTTGTACCGGTTGGTTCTAGTTCGCATTGGAATTTTCTGTGTGTCCGGCAAAATTTAGATTTTTGGGGTATTATATTTAATTTTACTTATCATGGGATAAGGATGCGGTTACTGGAGGTGATTTGAATGGACATATGAGTAGAGAAGGAGCGGGAATAGAAAGAATTCGCGAATTTTTGGGGATAGGAATAAGAAATATAGAAGGAAAATAATGTGATTGACTTTGCAATGACATGGAATTTGGCTGTTATTAATGCGTTCTTTAGGAAGACTGAAGACCAGTATGTCACTTTTGTGTTGTATAGAAGTCAGTTAAAAGAGGTTTTCAACTACAAAGTGATAAAGACAACAATAAAGTTGTGATGCGAGTAAGAAAGGAAGTGCTAGAAAAAAGTCTGTTAAAGGGCCTCCCATAGACAAAGAAACTTGGTGGTGAAACTATGAAGTGCAACACAAGTGTAGAGAGAAAAAAGACGCTAGAAAGAGGTATGCCAGGTCTAAAAGAGAGGAAGATAATATGTACAAGGCAGCAAAGAGGGAAGCAAAGTGCTCTGAAAGATCGTATGCATTGCACAGCTGTATAAAGAGTTGGAAACATACGAGAGGATAAAAAGGTTATACAGCATTGCTAAAGCAAAGGACAAGTCATCAAAAGACTTAACCCACATACGGCAGATTAAGAGTGCAGATGGAAGAGTGTTAAGAACGATGTTGAAGTAAAGCAAAGATGGTATGAGTACTTTGAAAAGTTAGCTAAATGAAAAACACCAGAGGAGAGACAGAGGTTGCAGAATCCCAAATGAGAATGTGATACCGGAGAGAGCGAGCGAGAAGTTGTCAAGGCGTTAAATAGGATGAAGAATAGTAAGGCAGTAGCTACTAATGAAATATATGTGGAGGTTTGGAAGGCTCTAGGAGAGGAAGGGGTTGATATTTTGTGGCAAATGTTGAGTAGGATATATAAGGAAGAAAGGATGTCCAATGCATGGAGAGAGAGTGTGATGGTATCATTGTATAAAGGTAAATAAAGGTAAAAGGTATCGGCATAGCTCGTAACAAAGAAAAAAATATAATAAAATAGAATAGAATAGAATAGAATAGAATAGAATAGAATAGAATAGAATAGAATAGAATAGAATAGAATTTATTTAATCAATATACAAAAATAGTTTTGTTTTTGACAAGTCAAAGGAATAGTGACAATACTTAAGTACTCCGTTTTTGAATAGAAACAATGTTTCAAAAAGTGTGATTTGATTTTATGATAACAAGTGAAGACTTTTTACTTCATCTGGCAAAAAGTTATACAAACTAACGTCAGTCGAATTTTTTACGCTCTTGTCAACCTAAAACGTTGTGCTCTAATAGCATCTCTAGATCTTGTATCGTGATCATGGACGTTGGAGTTTACGTTAAACTTACCTTTGTTGGCATGAATTTCAATCAGCGTCTCATATATATAGAGTGAAGGTAGTGGCATAATACCTAAATCCAGAAATAAAGGTTTACAGTGTTCCCTATACTCTGCTCTTGCAAGTATCCTCACTACTCTTTTTTGTAATTTAAAAATTCGATCTGCGTAAGAAGAATTACCCCAAACAGTTATTCCGTACTGTAAATGGCTATGAAATAGTGCAAAGTAGCACATTCTAAGGGTATTTTTAGGAATCGTATAAACTAAGTTGCGTATTAAAAATATACTTGTAGCAAGTCTAGAACTTAAGTAATCTATCAAATTATCGTCTATAAAGATTCCTAATAGTTTAACACTATTTCTTAAGATATACTTCCAATCAGAACTAAAAATCAAATTCTGATTTTTCTCTTCATTTAGCTTTAGCCCATTATGTGAGAACCAGTTTTTTGCTTTCTTGGTATCACTATCTATTTTAATTTTTAAATTATTCTGATTAATATCAGTATTTATGAGAGTTGTATCATCTGCGAAGCAAACACATTTTATAGGAAAAGTGTAGTGAAATAAATCGTTCAGATAAATAAGAAACAAAGTGGGTCCTAATATCGAACCTTGAGGTACACCATATTCGACAGTGTTAAACTCAGAATAGCTGTTATTAAGAAAAACTGCCTGTTTTCTATTTGTTAGGTATGATCTAAATAGATTAAGAGTGTTTCCCCTAATACCGTACTTATGCATTTTTTCCAACAGTAATTCATGCGAAACACAGTCAAAAGCTTTGGATAAGTCACACAATGTCAAAGACACAAAATGACCTTCCTCCAAGCCATCAACTATATCTCTCACAATTTTCTGTATAGCTAGTGTAGTGCTACACTTTTTTCTAAAGCCATATTGATTACAGTGAAGTATTTTGTGTTCTTCTAGATATTCTACCAAACGAACATTTAGAATACTCTCAAAAATTTTGCGGAAAATGGGAATGATTGAGATGGGACGGTAATTTCCAATTTCATCTAAAGCTCCCTTTTTGAACACTGGTAGCACTTTTGTTACTTTTAAAACATCTGGGAAAATCCCCTCAGTAAGACAATTATTATAAAGTATAATTAATTTGTCAATAATAATATCGATTGTTTCCACAATTATTTTTTTGTTTAAGAAATAAAAATCCGTGCAGTGTGAATTTTTCAATCTATGCAAAACATTCCTGATTTCAGTATCACTAACAGGTAATAAAAATAAAGAGTTGCAAGGAGAGTGTACATCTTTCAAAAAATCTATGGCTACATTTTCATTTGTAGAATTAAAAGAACTTCTAACATGTTTAGCCACTGAAGTAAAGTAATTATTGAAATCGTTTGATGTAATCGCGCTTGGACAGACTTTTTTATTTTGAAATTTATTTCTGTGATAATTTATAACTTTCCAACTATCACGAGATATATTTATAGTGCTTCTTAAATTTTTTATACTCACTATATTCCTTTGTAACATCAGCATATGTGTATAAGATGGAAGGCAACCGTATATATGTATTTCTGACCATTGGTCGTCTTCAGTACGGTACAGCCAAGTTAGAAAAGGAGCATATTAACTTGGGAAATGATCAGTACAGAAGCTACACTTTTCTAACTTGGCTGCATCGTACTGAAGATGACCAATAGTCAGAAATACGTATATAGGGTTGCCTTCCATCTTATACACATATTTTATTTATATTATTTTTCGTTTGTTGCGAGCTATGCCGATACCTTTTAACCTTTATTATATTATAATTTTAATTAATTAATTAATTAATTAAAATTATTTAAATGATATGACTATGATTTTATCACACTTTTTTATTCTCTTATCTCAGGGTTCTATTCGTGCTTCAATATCTATGCTATTACATGTGAAAGGTAAGGTCCAAAGAATACCGGAATAATAAAAAACATATAGGATCTAACATTATATATTGAAATAAAATAATGAAATAAAATTCACACTCCAAAATTTTCAATAAACAAAATCTCATATAATGATTCTCAAAAATTTGTTCTACGTACGTGAACCTTCAAAATTAATGGTACAAACAATATTAGTTGAAATCTCAAAATCCCAAATATTATTCTAAATCTCCTAATCAAAATATTTATATCCTTTCTAAATTAAGTGTAAAAATTGTGTTATCAATAAAAGAAAAACTGCAGAAAACAAAACTATCTCTCTCTCTGATGATGAGTGGTCCAAGTCCTTGTTCCTTGTAGACTATACTATTTACTCGTAGCCGCTCCCTAGGTAATCAGCAATCTTACAACAAATTATTGCAAGTTTATCGTTCTTAATGATCTCCTTCAAATGCACGAATCGTTCTAATTATGCTAGCTTCTTCTTCTCTCAATAAACTGAATCTCTCGTTGGCCTGAGTGAAAAATGACTATTGGAATATCTTTTCTTTACGATAAACTTAATCTCTC